TAATGAAAACTTTGAAGTTCTTCCAAACTTCAGGTGACTCCGCAAATTCTGAAAACTCTGGGTAAAATTGGCCCACAGAATATATCTGAGATAAAGTTTGCCGTTGGAAGATCTGTACAAGGCTGCTACCTCCGTCTTGACTTTTTGCCTGTTCCAGTTATAAGCGTAGAAATGCCACCGATAAGATACGCGGAAATCGGGGTCTCGGTGAGTTCTTTTCACCACTCTCTTTCCGGTGCTTTTATAAATGGGAGGTTCGCTTCTGGTTTGAGAGAGGGGTATCTTACTGATTCCCATCAACGTCCAGATCAACACACTTCTGTGAATTTATGAAATGGCACTCAGCGAAGTTTGTACAGGCGATCTTGTAGAGATTTGCGGACTCTGGCATAGCTGGTACTGCTACAGGGTCGTTATCCCTGCAAACGAGAGAGCGTAGAGGGGTGTGCATTGAAGGCCAGCCAGGCTTTACTACCAAGGCTCCGTGCCGTTCACGCAACAACTGATGGATCAACGTTGGCTCCTTATCATGTCCTTTCGCACTACCTTTCGTTTCCTGAGCTTATGGCAGTACAGAATGAAGGCAGTCTCGTAAGTTTACAAAAGGTTACGGCTCGCACCAACATTACCAACGTGAGAATGCTGGAGAAACTGACAAATATGCTGATCCTTCTCCCCTTAGCGACAGGAAAGTGTTTCTGTAAATAACGATTCAATGACAATTTTTTCGATACCACAAAGTCCTGATGAAACCAGGGTACTGCATCGTAACGCGCGAAATGGTGGTGTCAGTACGACCCTCTCCTCCTCGAAGGAGGTTCTCGGTACGACCCTCCCCCTCCCCTCCTCCAACACCTACCTACCAATTTCCTAATACATTTTCCAGTTTTTCACCCAAAAGGTTTCCGTCGAGGGGGTTATCCTACACATGAGAGAAGAAAAATCGCGAAAACTCAACAATCGGGAAAAACTTTTCCCAGTGCGGCGAATTTCTCTCAGAGCCACATGCAGGCTGCTCCCTACAGCTGCGACCGGCGTCCAGCATTCTCCCGCCAGCCGAAATCTCAGGCGAAAATTGAATAGGTAACTCTTCTTCTTATTCTCCCTAGTCCCGCGCCGTCGCAGGGTCCGCT